AAAATGTAAACTATAAATAAAATTAGAAAAAAAACTTTTTTTTTTAAGAAATATTTTTTATTGAATTTCATAACATAACAAAAAAGCAAGTGACAGTGATACACTTAACACAGGTTCTCATTAAATAACTTGGTCCCCAAAACAAACAAACACAAATAAACAATAAGGAACAATGAGAGAAAGGAAAAAATAAATAAAAAAATAAAAAAATAAAATAAAAAAAAAAAGAAAAAGAAAAAAAAAAGCCATCTCAGCACAGTTCTCTTAATGTCCTCTGTAACGTTTCAGAAACACGGTCAACGGTGACCATGTCTTTTCAAATTTTGCTCCTTTTCCTCTGAAAATATAAGTGAGTCGCTAAAGAGCCATACACGATGTCATCTCCTTCACCCACATGTGATTTGATGGTACATCCATTTTTTCCATTATAGAGATATTAATCTTCTGGCCTGCAGGAGTCCAAAGTCAATCAATTTTAACTGTCTGGAATTAAAGGCAGAAAAAAACAATTTAATGTACATTTTTTATGTAAAAAAAAAGTATGTCACATAAAATTCTAAAAACACAACATTTCTCTGATGTACCTAACATTCAATGATTATGGTTCAGATTACTGACCAATCACCTGCTCCATGAAGAAGAGAGAAGTAGCGCTCTCCAGCGCTAGAATCCAACAACAGACTAAACATTCTGCGAAAGCAAAGACTTTCTAGATTTAACCTCAGTCTAACCACAGTGTGGGTCCACAGAGTGAAATATAAACCTTTATACTTTTAGATAAAATCCTTTATTGGTCAGGTCTTAACCATAAGAGATTTAAAATTTAAAAAGTTATATTTTTCTCAAATTAGGTAATGATGCTATGACTCCTGCCTCCTATTGAGTACTTTAATTACTTTTTTGTAAAGATGTTTAATGAGTTTTAATAATTGTAAAAAAAAAAAAAAAANCCTAACATTCAATGATTATGGTTCAGATTACTGACCAATCACCTGCTCCATGAAGAAGAGAGAAGTAGCGCTCTCCAGCGCTAGAATCCCAAAACAGACTAAACATTCTGCGAAAGCAAAGACTTTCTAGATTTAACCTCAGTCTAACCACAGTGTGGGTCCACAGAGTGAAATATAAACCTTTATACTTTTAGATAAAATCCTTTATTGGTCAGGTCTTAACCATAAGAGATTTAAAATTTAAAAAGTTATATTTTTCTCAAATTAGGTAATGATGCTATGACTCCTGCCTCCTATTGAGTACTTTAATTACTTTTTTGTAAAGATGTTTAATGAGTTTTAATAATTGTAAAAAAAAAAAAAAAAGAAAAAAGGAGGATAGTGGACTTTTTTTATTTTTTAGAAGCATACATAGCCTAATGAATCTAGTCTATTAACCTAAAGCGATATGCACGGTCTGGTTGTTCCATGTCAGGCATGCCGGTCACTGACCTTGAGCAAGGCACCTTACAGTAGCAGGGCTGTCACCTCTCACCCATTGGGAGTGAGACTCACCCATCTCAGTGTCTTCACACACTCTCACTCCATATTCAGATTTCTCACACTAAAAAAATGACAGACATTAAAACTCAACTCCGTTCCACTTATTTATGTATAAAAAATACCACTGATGAAAATCCAGTCTGTGTTTTTAATCCAACCTTAGTGCTGACACTCGATGCCAGGTTCAGATCCAGTCCGTATTCCCGCCGATTCACTGGGCCAGATATTGAACAAAGGCAGTTATTAAGTTTTCATTTGAATTTTTATCTTATCTCATCTGCAATAGGATAATCCTCTTTGTAAATTATTGAAGAATTTAAGCATCTAGTACTTTAGTAAATATGAATAAAATATACAGCATCTAGTTTAAATTATTGCTGTTGAGACTGAGTGCAGGATCACATCCAATGGTTTGATTTCTCTTTACCTGCTGCTGTTTTTAGTCCCAGTTTTAGTCCAGGTTTTGCTCACAGGTTAAATAATTATTGCTAAGCCTAGTTTAATAATCTCCCATTGGAATTTAGGACTAATTAAACCAACACAAATATTTAAATTCTTAAAGCTTTCAGGTTTGCCTCTCAAACCCAAAGGAGCTCCAGAAAAAGACCAACCGCATCCAGAAAGGAAATGCAGAACA